TCTGCCTCCCGAGTGCTGGGATTAAAGGTGTATGCCACCAACGCCCGGCTCGAAGACCACTTCTTCTAAGCCTTAGATATCACCACTGATGTCTGCAGGGGTGACTCCACCACTGAAACTCTGAGCAGCGTGCAGCTGAGGAAGAGCTGCAAAGAGGGAGCCAGCAAAGCCACGCTGCTGAACTTGGGCAGCTTTCCCTTTTCCAGGCTAATCAGCCAGCAGGTGTTTGACCCTGGCAAACATATAAAGTTCTGAGCTGGAGAGCATGATATCACAGAGGAAACTGCTGGCAGTGTTGCCAGTGTTTGTCTGCGGACTGGTGTCTAACTGTTGCCTCAGCACCATATTCTATCATCAGTTCCTGCAAACTGGTCCTGGCTTTGTGTGTGGCGACTGAGCATACCTGTCCACCTGCTGAAATGTCAAGGCCTTGTTTACTGCTGCTCCTGCTCCTGCTGAAGCCCCAATCCGAGACTGAAGAGTCAGAGGAGGGTATGGAGTTTGGTTTCTCCACAAATTTCTCCAAAGCACCTTCCAACTCGGCCAGGTGAATTTGAGAAACATGGAGATGAAGGCCTGCCTTCCTTTCCTCCTCTCTCTCTTTAAAGCTGCCTGTAAAAAAAAAAAAAAAAAAAAAGGAAATGGGGGCTGGAGAGATGGCTCAGTAGTTAAAAGCAGTGGCTGCTCTTCCAGAGGATCCAGGTTCGATTCCCAGCATCCACATGACAGCTTACAACTGTCTGTAACTGCAGTTCCAGGGAATCTGACACCCTCACACAGACATACATGCAGACAAAACACCAATGTATATAAAATAAAAATAAACTTTTTTAAAAAAAAAAATCAAGGAAATGACAAACAGTCTTGTAGTTTTTGCTCAGCCCACTGCCTCCTAGCAGTGCACTTGATAAACTGCTTCAGAGAAACCAAACAGCTCCCATGGACAATAAGAAGCCTTGCTTTAGTACAAGGGCTGCTGTGAGGTAAGCCCTTCTGGTGTTTGTAGGACACTCACAGAGACGCAGTTAAGGCTGTGTGGTGTGCACTTTACACTCTGTGTAAAGCTTCATCGTTCTCTGACGTTGAAACTATGCTGTCTGTCTTCCCAGTCTGCAAGTGTGGCCACAGTTGATGAGAAGACAAAAAATGCCAAGTTAAAGAAAAGACGGAAACTCAGAACAGAGCCAAAGCAGATCCATGAGGATTACTGTTTCCAGTGTGGAGACGGGGGAGAGCTGGTCATGTGTGACAAAAAAGACTGTCCCAAAGCATACCACCTTCTATGCCTTAACCTGACTCAGCCACCATATGGTAAGTTGGACCTTCAAGCCCTTCTCTGCTTCAGGTTTTACCATTTATGTGTAACTTGGGATACATTCTGCCCTCTTTCATAGAACTGTGAAATAAGAAATATTTCACAGGCAAACAAAATTACATGGTCAGAAATATGTTTCCATGCAAATTGGGTAACCCACATGTGGCAGCAAGGTCAGGTATCTTATTTATGATTACCAGGAGTGGGTAGTTGGCACGTAGGACATTGGGCTTGGGCCAGAGGCTCATGTCTGTATGAAATAACATGACTATATGGTTGTTTGGCTGGAGTCTGGAGCTGGATTTGGTTGGAATTAGTCTCTAAGCAAAGAAGGTAGGGTATGTGTAGTGGGGCACGTCTTTAATCCTAGCACTTGGGGGGCATAAGCAAGTTGGTCCCTGGGAGTTCCAGGCCAGCCTGGACTCTACAGACAGGCATTGTTTCAAAAAGAAAAGAAAAGGCTGGGCGTAATGGCATATGCCTTTAATCCTAGCACGTAGGCCAGCCCAGCAAGACTATAGAGTGAGACCCTATCTCCAGGGGGAAGGGGCGCACTCTTGACTTTTTTTTCCTGAGTAATTAAGAAACAGGCTAACAGGCGCATTCCTTCTCCAACCCCTGCCTTAGGAAAGTGGGAGTGTCCGTGGCATCAGTGTGACAAGTGTAACCGTGCAGCCGTTTCCTTCTGTGACTTCTGCCCACACTCATTTTGTAAAGATCATGCGAAGGGGGCTCTTGTGCCCTCTGCACTAGAAGGTCGCCTCTGCTGCTCTGACCACAACCCTGAATCTCCTGTATCACCAGAATATTGGAGCAAGATCAAGTGTAAACGGGAATCACAAGATCATGGAGAAGAAATCAAAGAATGAGTGGTGGTGATTTCTCCCTTGATGTTCTAAATGGAAGAAGCAGATAGACGCTGCATTTAAAACCAAGCGATGCTAGTGCGCTTGCCCTTGGACTGCCTTACAAAGGGAAGATAGGAACCAGTTCACATAGGCTAAGCAGGTGGTGTCTGCTCTCTCTAATTCGTTTTGTTGGTTTGGGGGTAATTTTGTGGACAGTGAAATTCCCTTGGTCTTACCTTTTATTGTGCTTCAGTGTCTTTGCAACTAGCAAAAGAGGTGTCCCCATTTTTAAAAGAGAGAGAGAGAGAGAGAGAGAGAGAGAGAGAGAGAGAAAGTTCTGTCAATAAGATCAATTTGGTAAAGCCTAAGATGCAATCCTTGGTTATAAAAAGCAAAATTAGCCATTCCTTTATTTATTTTCATTTTTAGGAAATGTGAGAAGTTTAGTTCCAACAATATAACCTCTGAGAGAGAGAGAGAGAGAGAGAGAGAGAGAGAGAGAGAGTGTGTGTGTGTGTGTGTGTGTGTGTGTGTGTGTGTGTACCTTTATATACCTCTTTACTGAGCCGTAGCTAGGCTAACTTCCTTCTCCCCATGCCTTCTGTAGTCTCAGACAAGGCTCTCAGCAAGTATTCAGTCTGGCCTCTTGGAAATGAATGCCTTGAGAGCTTTTACCTCTGAGGCCTTAAACTAGGTGAGCTACATGATGTGGTAACCACCTGGAAATGTGTGTGGGGGAAGTGTCCAGTAGGGGAACGGGAGTGAAATGCACTCACTGATTTTGACTGTTATCCGTTTACAGGTTTTCGGATAGAGTGCATTTGTGGGGATGTGGATACATAGGAGGGTGCTCACCCCTGTCACCCTGACACATTGGCAAGGAGCACAGACCAAAAGCTGGATCATATATGCACCATTTTCTGACCACCTAGTGTAGACTCCAGCCTTACTTGGAATTTAAGGGCATTTGATTTTCTGTCTTTCTTCTGCCACTCATGTCCTCTCTGCCAGATGATCACTGTTTCCTGGTAGAGCTATGTAATTGAATCTGACTATCTTAAGATTTTTTTTTTTCAGTTGGTTTCCTATCTTGGGGGTGGTGAAAGTAGACAGAGACATCCCCAAGTTTTTTGTTTTTTGTTTTTGTTTGTTTGTTTGTTTTTTCAAGACAGGGTTTCTCTGTGTAGCTTTGGAGCCTATCTTGACACTCACTCTGTAGACCAGGCTGGCCTCAAACTCACAGAGATCTGCCTGCATCTGCCTCCCGACTGCTGGGATTAAAGGCATGCGCCACCAATGCCCGGCTCCAAGTTCTTTGTGTACAATTTTTTCTTAATATTATACAATGCTTAAAATTTTCCCCATTGAGTAAGGGAAGAACTTTCACAGGGTATGTAAGAGCTGCGGAGATGCACTTCATCTTAGAAAGCACTTAAGAATGCTTACTCCCAAGAAAGTTGGTGTTTGAAAACATGGCTGTGATGTTTGAATAGAACAGACTCGAGCATACCAAGGTGTCTGCCCACAGAATTCACCTGCATCTAGCACTTAGGAATGTATCCATTCCAGTATTACTTGTATGAAAACATGTGAGACACTAACATCACACTAAGTAGACGCCTCGTGTTACTGTGAAACATGAACTTTCTTAGTGAGTTTTAACTGCTTGCCGGCAGGCAGTGCACAGTCAGGGTTATCCTCCTTAACAACCTAGCACTTCCTTAACAACGTAGGGTGGAAGATGCTCTCCCACACCCTGGAGTTGTGTCAAGTGTGTTTGTTCCTTTTTTAATTTTTTACAAATCAATTCAGACCTCTTTCTCTGGGTGAAAGAGCAATTTTGTGCCTCTTCTTTTTATATATATAAATGTGCAATTTATAGACAACAGACACTACAGTTTCCCTCTGTAAGCTCCTAAACTGCCACCTACCTGGATGTAGCACTTCTAGTAATTCTGTGGTTAGACAAGCTCCCACGAGGAGGAAGACAGGATGTTGCATGGCGCCCAGGGCAGTCACTCTGACTGATGTGAAGCATAGCCCATGCAAACATTATACTTGCTCCTTAGCAATTACCAAGTTTGATGTCCTTTAAAAAATAATGTAAGAATATCTGGGTTCTATCATACTAAAATATTATTTTATACAAATATGATAAACATTTTTTAAATTCACTGATAAAGGGTTTCCTTTGATATTCCAAATGTAACTCTTATGAGAACATTATGTCCAATATGAAATTGTATCTTGTTTCCCTTTTGACTTTATGCTTTTTTAGTATTGGATAACTTTTATATAGTAAGCCCCAAGGTGCATCATGTATTTATAAATACCTTAGGTTGACCTGTCTCTACTCTTTGGTGTGGCTATTTGTTTTTCTATCTCTAAAAGAGCTTTGCAAAACTTCTCCAATCTCTTCTCTTCTGATGACTAATAGGATTGTTCTGTTTCGGAAGCCAAGGTGTGGTTCAGAAAGTTCAGCATAGCCCACAAGTTTTCAGTGCTCCAAACTTGGCTTTTCTGTGCCAATGCAAGGGCATCTTCCTGGGCCTTTGTGGCCTAGGTCTGTCTTTGAGTTGAGGGAGAAAAAAGCAGAAGGCTCCTTGACTGTGTAAGTATGCACATATACACCATGCTTTCCTGTCCTACATCTGAGTATATCCTGAAAGGCACCATGCTTACTGGTATCTGAAACTAGCATTCATTAGCTTTTAAGTCTGTATGTATTATGAAGTATTTGGGACTGGTTTTATTCAGTCCAGAAATGATAGCACTTGGAGCAGCATGGACTGATGGTGATAGTTTTCACCTCATTCTGAGTCTTTGGAGGAAGATGAGAAACTGGGTTAGTAAGAGCTGGAGATGATGTCATGAAGCCATCACAGGCCCTGTGCTTGGAGGCCACCCTGGGCTACCAGAGTAGCTGCGTGTGCCCTGCTGAGGAAGGAGCAGGTGCTCTCACTGCCGGTGTGCTGAAGCAGCCATTCACCTCTTTAATCTCCTCAGTGTTGCAGATCAGAGTGGACTGGATTTTCTCTTTACCTTTGCACTGCAAGCCCTACTCCACTTTCATTCTCAGAAAACTATCTTCCCTAAGCTGTAGAATAGACTGAGTTTGGGAGCCATGGGAACGTGGAGATTTCTGTGTTATATAGATAACATATAATATATAATATATATATATATACATATATAAGTGAGTTAGCATACTTGAAACTAAAAAAGGTTGTGGAAGGGACTGCAGCTAGCTGCTGTCCCTTCTGCCTGCCACAGTATTTGCAAGTGTGTCTGTAAGTGATGTGGAACCGAGAGACACTGAGTGTCTGTCTTGTGAAACACTCAAATGGGTGGGGCTAGTGGACAACTCTCATGAAGTAGTTTCTGTTTTGAGTTCTTTCTTATGCCATAAGTTCTGTTAGACCTGCAGATTGAAGTCATACTGTCATCTACTCAAAATGTAGACCCTGGTTCCCCAGAACCTGCTGCTTATCTGTCATTTTATTTTAAACACAACACTCCTCCTGCAGCATACATTCTCCACAAAGCTGAGGTGCTTCCAGCTCTGTATCATGTCTTAATGGGAGAGGAAAACAAATTGTCTTTGAGTCTCCCAGCTTGGGTAAACTTGTAGTTTCTATGTCTCTCATGAGAGTACAAACACATTGGGAAGTTGCTTTATTACTAGACTTGAATTCTTCCTCACATGCCTGTTGCATCTGACGACCCCCTAACTCTGCTAAGCTGCTGTAGACAGCATGGGAAGTGATCAGATGGACAGGCCCTTCACGAAGGACCAGCCAGCCTTGGTCTCTGGTTATTTGTAAACAAAAGTAGACCTTGGTCCATTTTCAGTTGGACTCAAGGAGTAAATGTAGACATCTTTACAATGGTTAGCAAACACTGAAAAGCTGGACATTTGTATGTACTGAAACATCACCAAGTTTTACCTTGGGTAGGGTACTGGGGATCTTGAGAGAAAGTAATAGAGCAAGGAAGGGCAATGGTGAGTGTTGGTCACAGGCACAATGTTGTCCCTATAACACTGAGACCTCTGCCTCATTGAATGCCGGTTCTTCAAGTACTTGAGACCCTCCAGGTTCTCATTACAGTTCCTTAAGTGACAGGGTGGAAAGCACTGCTTTGTATACTGTCAAGAATAAAGTTCTTCCAGTGGGAGCGTAGCTATCTTAGATTTGTTGGTACCTTTGGGGAAGAGACCTGCAGGAGATATCAACAGCATTTTTAGAAATAATTTCCTATGGTTTTGTTTTATCTTTTTTGTTTGTTTGCTTCATCTCAAGTATCTCTTTTCTCCTTTTAATATATGCCTGGGTGGGGGTGGGGGTGTGTGTGTGTGTGGAGAGGGTGGAGTGTTTGCATTTATGTTACACTCCGGAAATGCTATGTGTAATCTTGTTTCAAAAAACCATTTCTGCTGCCAGGCATGGTTGCTCATGACTGTAATCCCAGCACTCCAGAAGCAGAGGCAGGAGTACGTCTGTGAGTTCAAGGCCTACTTAATGAGTTCCAGGACAGCTAGGGCTATTCAGAAACCATGTCTCAAAAGGAAAAAAGAAGAAAAGAAAAAAAATTATGTTGTTTGCTTTTGTCAAGCCATTGTCAAAATGGCAAATGTGAGCACTTGTACCTGTGTTGGGGGGAGGGAGGAGAAAAGTGTTGCTTGTCCTTTAGTAGACTCTGAAAGTCATTAATGTGTGAGTTGAAGGGGGAATAGAAGTTGCCAAAGTCAGTATTCAGTCCTTGGTTTTCCCTTGACTTCATTAGTCTGCTAAGGGATTAGAGGCACCCCAGCTTCCACTGTCTGTTTCCCTACCTGCTGACAGAGCCTTGGTGTGTGCAAATGGCCTTCAAGTATTTGCCAGTTTGCCTGGATAGGGATTCTTGTCAGTTAAAAGGAATGAGGAAATTTTACATTTGTTTTTGTTGTCAACTAACATCTCTTTTTTGTTGTTGTTGTTATGTACCCTACGGTAACTGTACTGCCAATTATAACCAGGATGCTAACTGATTACAACTGGCTAAAAAGATCTTTTTATATACAAAGATTTGTGTATATTTTGAATTGATATGGCAAATTCATGTGTGTCCATTTGAATATTATTCAATAAACAAATACCTGCAGATTCCACCTTCATTCTTTGTGTTCTTTGAATAATGTTCTTTACAGATTGTTTACATCTGTATTTACCTGTAATGAACTTTGTAGTTTCTGTGAAGTATTACTTTTCTTAAACCACTTGAGTCCTTAATATTCAAAGTGTCAACCTTCACTGGTCAGTCTTTTTAGTTTTTGTGACTTGGCCAGGAGCTCCTAACACTAAGGGATTAGTGCTAATTTTCCCTGGGGATATCTTTTAGGGCATTACTGTATAATGACTCCAAAACATAGCTTAAGGATTTTGTTGATTGACTAATGTTTTATTGCAAAATATGAGCCTACCCATCTTGGTTAACCTGTATAAAGATGGCTTACTGTTAACTGGTTGTAGTGTAGGATTGCCTGTAATAATTAAGCTTCTTACTGACATGTGCTGGTGGGAGTTTTTGTACATTGTACTGAAAATTTGGCCTTTTTAATTTTACAGATACTTTAGAATTCAAATGTTTTTCTGCTTCTGTAAGAATGTGGAAACGGTTTTTAATGGCATTCCATTGGTTTCAGGTCTTGCTTGAGTTGACTTTAATAAATTGTCCTGTATGTTCTAATTAAGTATATGGGCTTGTTCTTTGCCTGTAATTTCATGTCCAGTTTACTGGGAAATGAGATACACACCAAAAAAATCTACCCAACCTCACCCAGGTTTTTACCCTTAAAATACTGCTAAGAAATAGTTTCTTTAAAGTGAGTTTTCTGTTTTGTTTTTGTAGAGGAAGGGTCCTTGGAGGATGGCGTTCCTTTCAGTGACCTGTAAGATGATCCGGGCACCAGGTGGTTGAAGGGCACATTCATCCCAGTGATTTGAGACCCAAAGGTGGCTTGCTGGTTAGACAACGGGCCAGGTCATGCCGATCAACCAGAGGACAATGCCTTTGTTGCTTTTGTTAGGAGGTACTCAAAGCATAGGAGTCCTGAACGTCCTATTTCCCCAAAGCTCCTCGATTGGTGGAGCAGCTCGGGGAGATCCGAGGCCCTGCTGGTAGTGTTTCCTCGGAGCTCGCCAGGTGGCGCTGAGCCCGGGGCTGAACCACTGCGCAGGCAGAGGCAGCCACGTCAGCACCTGGTGGCGGAGCCGCGCGGCGGAATGGGGACGGCGGCCTTGGGAGCGGAGCTGAGCGTGAGGGTCCTGCTCTTTGTGGCCTTCCTGTAAGGATTTGTTAGAACACTCCCGGGCGTCCCTGGGTGCTCGCTCTTGAGAGGCTGCTCGGGGCGGCAGGACCTTCCGCCCAAGGAGCCTGTCGATCATCGCCCCTTTCCCCTTCAGGGTGACCGAGCTGCTCCCTCCTTTCCAGAGACGGATCCAGCCCGAGGAGCTGTGGCTCTACCGGAACCCGTACGTGGAGGCCGAATACTTCCCCACCGTCCCCATGTTTGTGCGTGAGCTGCCCTCCCCACGGCCCGCAGGGGCTTCTGCCTGCCTTGTGCTCTCCTTGAGATCCAGGTCTAGAGCATGGCGTCTGGGTGGGGGTGCGAGGCAGCAGGTGGCTTTACCTGCCATGTGTTTTCGTTCAGGTCATTGCATTTCTCACTCCACTGTCCCTGATCTTCCTAGCCAAGTTTCTGAAGAAAGCTGACACCAACGACAGCAAGCAAGCCTGCCTGGGTAAGAAGCCCTCCCGGTTTCTCTGCTACTGCTGGCAAATAGTCGTGGAGTGCAGCCACCGGAGCCTTGTGTGGACCCCTAAAGTCTGCCCTCTCACCCCGCTTGTTACCCGGTGAGGCAGAAGAACAATGGTCCTGTTAGAGCTCTGTTAACAAGGCACTAACTACACGGAGGTGCACACAAATCCCTTGACTTCTCTGTCCTGGGGCCGTTTACGCTTTTCGGGTACAGAGGCCACAGCTGCCACGCGAGTTTTTCACGTTCAAAGCCCACAGCTGCTTTTGTGCCTGGCTCTGGCTGGAGTCTACCTCGGAGCAAGGAGAGCTCTTTATGTGGCTGCGGCTACTCTTTCCCCAAACAGTTCCTTTCGGTTCCTTTCCAGCTGTGAGCCTCGCCCTCGCTCTGAATGGTGTCTTCACCAACACAGTGAAACTGATAGTGGGCAGGTGAGAGAGAAACTGCTGACACGCAAACCCCCTCAGCCTCCATCATCTCAATGCCTTCCTTTATTCTCACCTACAAAACTCTCCTCGGGCCCTCTGCCTGTCCTAAATGTGCCACCTGGTCTGTGTCCTGTCCTGGCTGTACCCACCACAGCCTCTAGCCTCCCGAGGACTGCAGTGTTAGCTGCTCTTGTGCTGAGATGTAATCATATGCTAGAGACTTTCCCCTTAAACACTGGCTGCATTGTTAGTACTCAGGCATCTGTACTGGCCTGTCCTTGGGGTTCTGACAGGATACGCCCTCAGCTGCAGCCGCTAAGCACCACCTGTGCACCTCTGCTTGAATCCTGTTGCATGACATCTTTCTCTTACAGTCTACTTCTCTTAAATTATAACATGTGACTAAAGCTCTTTTCTCAGTATAAGGACTATCCTAATCCAGTCACATTATCTTGTCTAGGACAGTAGTTAACAGGATTATTGACATCTACAACTGAAAATGCTTTCTGTTAAATTGTACAAGCTCACACTGTGCTTATTTCTTCCAGGCCACGTCCAGATTTCTTCTACCGGTGCTTCCCTGATGGGCTGGCCCACTCTGACCTGACATGCACAGGGGATGAGGATGTGGTGAATGAGGGCCGGAAGAGCTTCCCCAGTGGACACTCCTCCTGTATGACCCTCAGATGGACTACTTTGTGTGTGTGTGTGTGTGTGTGTGTGTGTGTGTGTGTGCGCGCGCGCGCTACAGAGGCCAGAAGGCGGTGTTAGATCCCCTTGAAGTGGAGTTACAGTTGCCATTTGAATCCTGGGAACTGACCAGCCCCAATATGTACTTCTAAAAATTATTACATTTAACCTACGGAGCCTTGCTGGAATGAGCCTTCTCTTACCAGTCATATCTTTATTTAGGCCAGACGGTGATGGCACGCCTTTAATTCCAGCACTTGGGAGGCAAAGGCAGGCGGATCTCTTGAGTTCAAGGCCAGTCTGGTCTATAGAGCAAGTTTTTTGGGTTCCCACTTATAGATGAGGAGTCTACAGCACTGTCCACAGTAATAACTTGTATTCCAGAAACTATTCTTACTTAAAATACTAACTCTGAGACAGAAACTGAAGTCCTTCATTTCCCATCCCTGTAATCAAGTGGGGAGGATGGGGTAAAGCCTGCCCTTGCTCCCCAGCCTTCTGTCTGGACGTGAGTGACAGGGCTTCCATGCAAATACACAACTCATAGGTCTTCCCTGTTCTAGTTGCATTTGCTGGTCTGGCCTTTGCTTCCTTCTACCTGGCAGGAAAGTTACACTGCTTTACACCACAAGGCCGGGGGAAATCTTGGAGGCTCTGTGCCTTCCTATCGCCTCTACTCCTCGCAGCTGTAATTGCATTGTCCCGCACGTGTGACTACAAGCACCACTGGCAAGGTAAGCAGCTTTGGACGCCTCGGGAGTTCCTGCTCCACCTGTTTTAACCCTAGAAACTGGCACAGAGGATTGACTTCCGAAGTGTCTGCCAAATGCATGAGCAAATGAGCGAGTGTGGACAGCCTGGGTCCTGTGCTGTGTCACGGACAAAAGTTAACTTTTAGGCCAGCAAGCTGGCTCATAGTGAAGTAAAGATACTTGTTGCACAAGCCTAGCAACCTGTGCTTGATCCCTGGAACACATGTAAAGGTTGAAGGACTGGCATTCCAGAGTTATCTTTCACATGTCAGGGTCTCCCTTTCTAGCCCAAGCCTCACCTTAAACTATCCTGCCTCAGTCTCCGAAGTGTTAGAATCATAATCTTGGGCCACAATTCTTGAAATAATGATGAGCAGCCAATGAACATTGGCTTGCTATCCTCCTGTGTTTAAATATTCTAACTAGCCAGGCTTGTTAATCCCAGTACTTGGAGGCAGAGGCAGGGGGATCTCTGTGAGTTTGAGGGCACCCCGGTCTACAGAGCAAGTTCTAGGACAGCCTGAGAGGTTACAGAGAGAAGCTCTGTCTTGGAAAGGAAAAATATTCGAACTCAGTCCATGCTGATTTAACACAGGGTGTGTTCTGATATGGTGTTTCATCTAATAATCCTGTAACTGTATGATAAAATTTAGACACTTCTAAGAAACTATACCATGGGCCGAGGGCTTTCCTAGCCTCTACACACAGCGTAACCTGGAGGGCCAAGTAGTATCTAACATGGTTTCTCTCTCTCTCCAGATGTACTAGTTGGGTCCATGATTGGAATCACATTTGCCTACCTCTGCTACAGGCAGTACTATCCTCCTCTGACTGATGTAGAATGCCACAAACCATTTCAGGAAAAGCACAAACTCCCCTCTTCACAGAGAAAGCCCAGTGAGTCTCACCACTTGGATATTTAACTGAACCTACCTCAATGGAGAACAAGCAAATCAGCCCTCCTAACTGGACACCGTGCACAAGCCAAGAGTCTCTTCCAAGGTAAAAGTGAGAGCACGGCCACACAGTATTCCTGCTTCCACAGGGCTGTGCACTTTGCCCCACTTCTCAGGCTAGACCCTCAGGAATCCCTGCCTGGAGCCTGTTCTGGCCAGGGGCTCTTCCGGGAGTTCTCTCATTAGGTTAATGGATCTGGGTCACAAGATTGGTGTCCAAGACCTAGGGTCTTTACATTTCTGTAAATGTCACTCCTCAAGCTACTTTTTCACCAAGGAGACTTTACCCTGAAGACTTTATTGCCAAACTTAATCTCTGTCCCTTACAAATAAGGGCAGTGCCAGCCAAACTTTACTTTTTGTGGTCACATTCCATTAAGCCTTAAACAATAAAACTACCAATTTTGGCCAATCTTTTTACTTCATCAGGAAAGAAAAATTACAGATATTATCTCTAAGACAAATGTATCTTTTTCTACCTTTTGTTCACAAAGCAGTATGTGGAACAACAATTAATAGGCTATCAAGAGAACTTGATACTGAGGACCACCTAATAGCTACTCTTTTTTTTTTTGGTTATTCTTTAAATAAAATTTTGTCTTATGTATATCTTCCTATAACATACTCTTTTTGTTTTTCAAGACAGAGTTTCTCTTTGTAGCCTTGGATGTCCTGGAACTCAAGATTTGCCTTCCTCTGCCTTCTGAGTGCTGGGATTAAAGGTGTGCACCAATGAGACAAGCTGTAACATACTGGTTTTTTTTTGGGGGGAGGGGCGTTGAGACAGGGTTTCTCTGTGGCTTTGGAGGCTGTCCTGGAACTAACTCTTGTAGACCAGGCTGGTCTCGAACTCAGAGATCCACCTGCCTCTGCCTCCAGGTTGGTGTGCCACCAACGCCCGGCTACATACTCGATGCATTTCTTTTCCCCCTCCGTAACTCAGTGAAACGGAAATGTGCTTGAATTTTTGTACTTTAAGAACCATTTGAGAGCCAGGCATTGGTGCCACATGCCTTTGATCCCAGCACTCAGGAGGCAGAGGCAGGCCAATCTCTGTGGGTTCAAGGCCGGCCTGGTCTACAGAACAAGTTCCAAGACAACCTCCAAAGCAATACAGAGAAACCCTGTCTCAAAAAACCAAAAAACCCAAACTATTTGGGGTGTAGGAGATCAACACTGGATTTTCATCTGCTCTGTGTGACTGTGGTATGTGTTGTACAAACTAATATTTGTAGATACTAGTAAGCTCTGTTTTTGTATTTACAGACACACTTATATAACTGCCAGAGTTTAGTCAAGAAAAAATAACTTACATTTTAGTTATTTGCCTAAAATTTGAGTTTAGCATAGGAAAAGAGAAAATGGCTACTAATTGGTTTTTCTTGATAAATAAGGCCACGTGAAACTAAGTAACTGGTCAATAGTTTTATTTCAGCATTTACTAAAGTCTTAAATATAATCACATATAAAACAAACATTTCAAAAGTGCAAAATATCAGAAAGGTAATCGGTGCTATTCATCTTCCCTTGAAACAGTCTCATTAACTCTGCAGCCAGGAATCTGGACAAAATTGCTGTTATGCTAGAGTTTAAAACCAGCCTCAATCAAGAGATTGTACATGATACAAATGATGCAGGGCAACTACTATATAGCTACACACAGGCTCCTTGCTACCTTATTCACTTGTATAACACCACAGGCAGAAGGTGAGGGTCAGGCTCTTTAGTTACTGTATGCCTGAACTGCCAGGAAGAAGCATGTCATAGCACGGTGGTTTATCTGCTCTCCAGGGCCAACCCACCCATCTTTGGTTACAAGAACTCATTCTTGATTGTACTTTGGTTTACTCTTAAGTCGTTAACAATTCTGCTAACAAGAGTAAACAAATTTGAAGACAGCAACTTGACAAAAACCCTTTAGTATTTAATAAATCTACTTAATTCTCAATAATTCCTACTCAAGAGACATTTTTTTTTTTTTTAAAGTATTCCATATACCTGGAACTTCTCAGTAGATTGCTTTTCCGGCATTATCCCATAAGCAGAGAAAGGAAAACCAGGCTTGAGTGTGTCCCGCACTTGCCTCTGTAACCTCTTTTCTGTACGAAAGGGGTACAGACCACTGCCTAAGGGATGGCTTCAGTGAGTACTAAATATAGAACTTTCTGGATACCATGATAGGTTTACAGAAAGAAAAAAAAAAAAAGACAAAAATCAAAACATAGCTTACCTCCCCTGCCATTCTATAAGAGACTTGTGGGAACCTGAGGAGTTGGTCTGAGGAGCATAAAGGACTGTCATGGAGAATGAAGATGACAGCACATGCTGAAGAAGGGGGGAGGGGAGCCTAAACCAGAGCACTGAGCAGATCCCTGGGAGAAATCTGTACAACCACTCATGTTCCTCGAGATAACTCTACCTTGATTTTGCCAAATTCAACTACAAGTGCACACAGTTGCTCCTCAGACCCTGCAAATAGGGTTTTCTTTCAGAATATATCTTTCCCTGGCTAACCTGCATTCTCAAGTAAACATTTTGACCTTGGATACCCTGGAAGGCAATGTTTACATCAAGATACTTCCTTTACTCAACGGAAATTAGCAAGAGACTTAAGTTTGTGCTACTAAAAGACCTCATTTACAACATGAACAGTTGTGAATGGCCATATAATTGACCAACTCTTACAACTTCACCTTCAAGTAAGTATTATCAAATAACTTACTCAAATCTCACCCCCCAGTTTGGAATATGGTATAAAGGGCAGGTATACAACTCATACTATCTTCACATTTACAGAAGCTGAAGCAGTTGTAAAAACAACACACAGTACCAGTGATTCCTATAATAAGCCTAGCTGACAGTGTTCAGAGCAAGCTATATTTTTAGTAAGCTACAGTCATATCTTCCTATAATACACAAAAGAAAGAAATGCTGGCTTAAAAAAATAGCAGCTATGTCCATATCCATTTATGCTTAGTGCAAAAAACACAAATGACTGGACTTCTAAATCTTAATATACTTCCAAACTGGTCCATCTTCTAAAGACAAGGAATAAACCTCTCTATAATTTTTCTAAGCCCCCCCCCAAACAGACTGTATTCCTTCCCATGTAATAAGTGCTGCTGTTAAAGTATTAAGATGTAAACTCCTTAGCTACAAAAACTAGTGAGTGTTTTTATGAAGCAATTAGTCTTTTGCTTTCCACTAATTTCCAAAAAGGATTATCTTCTAAGATCCTGTGGAATCAGAGGCAGGCAACATGCAGGACGAGACATAGCTGGGAAGAGAGCTGCAGCAATAAGCCTGTGGGTTTTCAGGAAAGGGTCCCTCAGTGTCCATCTACAGGGAAGAGTGGGAGAAGATGTCAGGCAGTTCAAGCTGAGGGTAACCAACACCACAGAGAATGCCACTGTATAACAGACTTTCCAGGTTTCCATTTGGAAGGCTGTGAGTATGCTAACTCTCAGGATCCCAAGCACAAGATAAAAATATTCACTAATCCCTAAGTGGGTGACTGGATACTGCCTATGGGTTTTAACCAGTCCTCAAAGTGAGTATATTACCCTAGATCATGTGGACACATACACATCTGTATAAAAGCTTGAGGCTTCACTATTCCTTGTAACATGCTCACATGTAAACACTACCCTGCATTGAAAACTTACATTAAGCAGCCACAGACGGGCCATTTTTTACTGTAAAGGCTGATCAAGGAAGATACCCTGGGTTTGGTAGATCTCTTTGAGAACCAGCAATACTGTATCTTCAGATTCCCTGTGTAGGAGAAAAAAATTGAGAAGAGATGGGACAGTCTGGTGCCATATACTTTTCATATATCTATACAGAAACCTTGGATTTATTTATTTGGTTGGTTTTTCAAGACAGGGTTTCTCTGTGAAATAGTCCTGGCTGTCCTGGAACTCACTCTGTAGACCAGGCTGGACTCTAACTTACAGAGATCTGCCTGCCTCTGCCTCCCAAGTGCTGGGATGAAAGGCATGCGCCACCACCACCCTGCTATTTGAGATGCACAGTTAGCAAGGGGATCTAGCAAAGCATTACGTCTGACACCTTTCCTCCATGGCTTCTGCTTCAGTTCTGTCTTCAGACTCCTGCCCTGAGGTCCTAACTTGACTTCCTGCAGAGGAAGTGTGACCTAAGAGTTGTAAACTGAAATAACCCTTAACCTCTTCAAGTTGCTTCTGGTTATAAGTTTTACTACAGCAAAAGAAACCCTAAATCCTTTCTATGTAAGACTAAAATTTGAAATGAATCCAGATTTACATGTAAAAATGAGAATATAAGCTGGGCAAGGTGGTACACATCTTTAATCCCAGCAGGATCTCTGAGTTTGAGGCCAGCTCAGCCTGGTCTACAGAGTTCCAGGACAGGCTCCAAAGCTACAGAAAAACCCTGTCTCGAAAAACAAACAAAAAAACTATTTTCCTTTGAATTTCAACCCACTCAGAGTTTTTAATTAGAAGGGGCCATTCTTTTTGGTCTAGCTTTTTGGGCTTCAAGACAGGGTGCCCTCAAATTAAAAATATAGCAGCACAAATTAAAAATGAGCTCCTGACCTTCCCTCCTCCATCTCTCAAGTTCTGGGATACAGACATGTACCAACATTTCCAGCTCTAAAGACAGTTTTTAAGTGAAGCTTAATTTTCTAATAAGCAAACAAGCAGGGCCAGTGAGATGGCTCAGCTGTAAATGTGCATGCCACCGAGACTGATGACCTGAAAATAGAAAGGACATAATTAAATGGTGTCTTGTGTGTGTGTGTGTGTGTGTGTGTGTGTGTGTGTGTGTGTTTACCCGTAGCCCTGGCTGTCCTGGATCTTGCTCTGTAGACAAGGTCTGGCCTCCAACTCACACAGATCCATCTGCCTCTGTATCCTGAATGCTTTGGGACTAAACACATGCACCACTACTGCCCAATAGTTAAATTTAAAGGGAAGGCATTTAAGAGCATTATTTTAGCTCCTTATAATGACTGAATTTGTTGAGTTTTAGTTTGATTCTATTTCTCATATAGGGATGACAGTGAGTGTGCCAGATAGTGATCTCTTTATCAGAGTTCCGTAGGGAAACTCCTCAGAACATCAAAAACAAAACCAAGCTCACAGCACTCCTCCTGCCCGAGCCTCTCGAGTACTGGGATTACAGGTGAGCATCTTTTCAAAACACGTCTCTATGCCCCATCTTATTTCTCTAGCTTTATTTCTGTCTTGTGGGTGATGAAACTGTTATACAAATTATCACCAATACTCTGATCTATACTCCACCAGGCAATTAATTATACTTAATAATATACATGTGCCTTAGCTACTGTAAATGCTTTTAGTTGTTTTTTTTTTTTCTCTCTCTTTGGTGGGGAACAGGATTTCAGTGGGAAGCTCAGGCTTCCTACACTCAAATCCTGCAGACTTAGTGTCACAGATGCTGGGGTTACAGGCATGAGCAATTACACCAGTCTAAAAGATACATCTTAAAGACCAGAGCTAGCTGGGGTGAAGCTGGGTGCCAGTACTTCTGAGACCAGGCACTAACTCTGTCGGAGCTGAAAGAGAAGACTAGATGAGGATACAAAACACCAACAACAACAAAAAAAAACACATAACTCTTACCAGTAGCATAGATGGCTTTGTAAAGCAAATAAGTATTCATTGAAACTCTCAATGGGCTTCTCCTGTAACACATAATCAATGCGCTGGCCACCATTCAACATTCCCACATTGATTGGAAGCTCTTCTTTAACCTCCACAGGCGTCTCTTCTGTGTTAACTTCTGGTAAGAAGAGCCATTGTAAGAACCTAAGCACAGGACTGGGGACAATAACTCAGTGGAGTTGGCTAAGCACTTGCCCTGCAAGCATGAGGAACTGAGTCCCAATCACCAACACCAGACACCCATATAAAAAGCTGGCCACAGCAGCACACACCTGTAATCCCAACAGTAGGGACGCAGAGACAGGAGGATTCCTAGGGCTTCCTAGCCAATTAGAGAGCTCTAGGTTCAGTGAGAGACCCTGTCTAAATAAATTCAGGAGAAGAAAGATGGAGGAAGACACTCTGTCTTCCTTCTAATCCCATGTTTACCTTATGAGGTATTCTGCTCAGAGAGTTCTATCCTGTGTTCTTCCTCTCAATTTCTTTAAAACTCAAGTCATACTAATTTTGTTCAATTTCTTCTTTTGATCAATATATCTCATCACCTGTAAGTCATGTGTCTTGAATTTTATAAACTAGATGCAAACAGGTATAGACTCTTGGCAATAGAAATAAAACTGATACAAAGACACACATCTTATAAAGCTAGCCACTGGGGCTGAAGTAACGGCTCAGCAATTAAGAGTACTTGCTGCTCCTGCAAACGACTCAGGTCTAATTCCCAGCACCTGTATCAGGTAGGTTACAACCCCCCCATAACACCAATAACAGGGAATCCAATAACACTAGCCCCTGAAGGCATCAGGCATACATTTGGTGCACATTTTACACACTCAAGCATGCACACATAAGAGAAAAAAAATGACTTAAAAAATAAATAACAGGGCTGGAGGGTTGGCTGGGCCATTAAGTGCACTCACTGATCTTCCAGAGGATTCAGTACTGTCTTCTGGCCTCCACTGGCAACTATACACACAAGCATGCACATATTCTTTTTGAAGTAGGTACTTCACAGAATAGGCTTGTGACCTTGGCTGTCCTAGAACTCATTCCATAGACCAGACTAGCATTAAACTCAAAAGATCAACTGCTTCTGCCTCCCGGGTGCTGGGATTAAAGATTCGTCACATGCCCAGCACAGGGTGGACATTTAATATTCCCAAATCCAAAGTGGGAAATGTTTTCAAGGATAGTTAACAGTTTCTCTTGACATTTTCCCCATAACTTTTAGCTATTAAAATGAGAGGAAAAGTTAGCATAATTCAAGAACAACTATGACTCATAGACTAGATCCTACATAATTAAAGGGCGGAAAAAAAGAAAAGGCCGCCCTGGGAAGAACTCCACAGGATGGCACCCCTCCTCAGGTAATCCGTATACAGTGTCACTGACCACTGGACTTCTCTGAACCCGATTCAGGTTCTGCCTCAGTTTCTTCTGTTGTCTCTGAAGCTTGTAAGGCAGGGTATGGAGCTCTGGTGAAAGACTTCCAGGCCATCCGCAGTGAACCCAGCAAGTTGTTCTTCAAGTCCATACTCATCCTGGTAAAGCCCTCTCTCAGTTCTGAAACAGCAAGTAAAGGATGCTACATGATGTGGAGTTTAAGGCTCAGCAAAGAAAAGAATCAATTCCATTTAGTTTATACTCATCAGAATATCCAGAATTGAGTTCTATACACACTCACCTAAGTGCATCCGCTTCCTGCCTTTATGATGAGGGATCAGCATTGGCTCAAATTCTACTTCCGGAGCCACCATTGGTTCAATTCTATACGCCACAGGATCAAACTACATAAAAAAAATAACAGCTAAGTTTTTATCCCTAATAAAGAAGACAGTCTGAGGAACTACATATCTTGGGCAAAAATAATTACATTTATTTTGTAAAAAGGTACAGTATGAGCTGAAAGATGGCTCAGTCAACACAATGCTTGACCTGCAGCACAGGGGCCTGAGTCTGATTCCTAGAACCTGTATGTTTTAACAAACAGAACAAAAAACTGGCATAAGGACAAATACTTGTAAATCCCAGCACTGAGGAAGCTGAGACAGGCACATCCCTGGGGTTCTCTGGCTGGCCAGTCTAGCCTGCTTGGCAAGATCCAGTCCAGGCCAGTAGGAGACCCTACCTCATTTTAAAAAAAAAAAAGTGGACAGCACCTGACAAATGGTACCCAAGGCTATCCTCTGACCTCATACACACAAATATGAAGTTCTTCTAATTACTTCCTTGTTTTTTGCTTTGTTTTGGGTTTGTGTTTTTTGTTTTTGTTTTTCGAGACAGGGTTTCTTTGTAGGTTTGGAGACTATCCTGGAACTCTCTTTGAAGACCAGGCTGGCCTAAACTCACAGAGATCTAATTGCCTCTGCCTCCCGAGTGCTGGGATTAATGGCATGCGCCACTACCAGCTCCTAATTGCTTCTTACCAATTAGTACTACCAAGTGTCTGGTTACTAAAGAGTAATACAGAAAAAGCAAATCAATACAAAATTACACGCTGTTTGCTAAGAAATCCTAGTATTTAGGTAAAACCATATAGCAACTATTCAATGCTTACAGGATGGTAAATATTGAAGAAACCTTTGCATGTGGGAAATTTGTAATTAGGATCAATTCTTCTTAATCCTCGGACAGTAAGAAACATTCCAATGGGAGATCCAAAGGCAAAGAATATTTCTGGTTTGTAGTTGAGCCGGGGGTATTTTACAGACACCTGAAAGGAGGAAAAAATAATGTCTTACCTGTTCCTACTGTATGACTAGTAGTAGTTAAAACAAAAACCAAAGAGTTATTTTTACCTGCCCAATGCCAACATCCAGATAGTCACCATTTTCCTTGGAGCTGTTTACCTCTGAAGCAGATGTGTCTGGTCTATTAACACCCTAAAAAGAATTTTTAAAAAATAGCTATGTGGTGATAGTATCCACTGGAACTAGCTGTTAATGTCAAAAGAAAAGCTTGAAAATGGAACCAATAATTTTAAGTAGAGTCCTTCACGACTTACAGTTGTCTCACATGAACTGACATCCCATAAGTGTGTAGGGAGACACTGTAACCACACCTCCTAAGGCGTGGTCAAGGTGAGGACAGAATGACGAAGCATGAGATCTTAAGCTACCATGAGCACATGGAACGCGCTTCTTCCCCTTCAGCTGCCCCTTCTCTCTGGCCTCCCCACCTTGCTGCCCCTGGGCATGCTCTGGCTTGCGTTTGGTTGGTATTTATCTGAATCAAGGTATCTTGATTCAGCTTTTTCCTTCATATTGAAGGGATCTGCTCCCCTTTCGGCAGCCATAACAGCCGAACACATGCTTGCCATAAACTTGCCTTGGTCACTTAGAGGTCAGATGCCTGTCTTGTTACAAGGAACCCATCAGAAGTTAGTCACTAGAAAGTCAGATGCCTGCCTCGTGACAAGGAACCAATCAGAAGTTAGCTGGTGGCGCTATGCTTTATGACTCTGGGTGTGCTTTACGGGACAAGCGGACAAGCGCACAGCATTGACGTAGAGAACATAGCAACCACCCTGGGAGGGCCTATGGACCATAACAACCAGCTGACCAATCAACACATGGCAAGCCCTCCAAGCCTGTGCCTATCCCTAGACACTCCCCTTACGCTGTCCTATAAGATCTCTTGGGAGGCCCTAGGAGCCGTCTTTTCTAGCCATCCGCCATGGCGGGTGGGTGAAAGACCCGAGCTAACATGGGGTTAGCTCGTTAAATTACAATAAAGCCTCGTGCAGTTTGCAGCAAGCTCTCGAATCCGCCTGGTGATTGGGGTGACCGCAGTCGTGGCCTGGGACCCCGGATACTTGAGTTTCCGGGGGTCTAACAATATGCTTTAAAATGATGCAAGTGGAACTGCAGAGGTGGCTCCATGGTAAGACGGACTGCCTGCTCTTCCAGAGGACCCAGGTTCTGTTCCCAGCATCCACATGACAACTTACAACTATCTGTAACTGCAGTCCCAGAGGATCCAATGTCCTCTTCTGATCCCCATGGGCACCAGGCATGCATGTGGTACACAGACATACATGCAGGCAAACAGATAAAACAAAACAAAAAATTAAAATAAATCTTCAAAACTAAGTTCTGGGCTTGGTGGAGGACACCTTTAACCCCAGCACTTGGGAGACATTAGAGACAGGCCTATCTTTCTGAGTTTAAGGCCAACCTACTCTGCATACTGAGGTGTAGGCCAGTTAGAACTACACAGTAAGATCATGTTCCAAAAAAATACAAATAAACAAACGATGGAGGCTATACACACCCATCTTAGCAGCACTGAAATCTCAGGCAGGCATGCCAGACAACAGTGGAGCATTGTTGCTAAACTCCATAAACTATGTGCCTCTGTAATCAAGTGTCTCTCTGGGTGCTGAATACAATATAAATACTGGATCAAGAACTGGGTCTTAGCTGATAAGGTGGCACATACCTTTAATCCAATTAAAGCCCCGGAGTTTGAGGACAGATTGAGTAACACGGGGAAACCTTGTTTCAACAATACATAAAGCAAAATGAAACCAGATCTGGGCTTGGTGGTGCAGGTCTATAGTCCCAGTTACTTGGGAGGCCTAAGGCAGGAGGATCTCAAGTTCAAATTGAAGTCTCCCTGGCCTACAGAGTGAGTTCAAACCAGCCAGGGCAATTTATTAAGATTCTGTCTCAAAATAAAAAGTAAAAGAGTAATAGAGATATTGCTTAGTTTTAAAGTACTTGCCCAGCAAGTGTAAGGTCCTAGATTTAATCCCCAGTATGGAAAACAAACAAAACCATCTGTTTGGTTAGCAGAATATATATCTCACAAAGTATAAGGACTTACTATCACTGTCAAAGAACTGTCTCACCCTACTTAGCCATATTAGAGACAAACCATTGAATTTTTTCTGGTCCTGAAATGGTTTAGTATCTTCTTTCTTGGTCCTAAGGGAATTCCCATTTCCTGAAGGTCTTTTTCTGTACATAAAGCCTAGGAATAGAACACAAAACAGTTTTTTGTTTTTTTTAATTTCCAGGCAAAATAAAATCAATTAAATGTTGTAGACCCTTAAAGGAGTCACTCTTCTTGGTTCTACACTGATCTGGCTCCCTAAAGGCATAACACACAAGTAACATTGAGAAAGAAAGCTGTCTTATTCATAAAATAAACTAAGAAGAATAGAAGTATTAGTAAAAACTACCCTGCCAATATGATTGTAATAGAATAGTATGTAAAAAACTAAAATGATGGTCATTTAGATGTCAGTTTCTCAGGATTGTACTCCTCCTGATGGACAAAAGCTGTGAGAACATTTGGCCAACAAAGAAATTTAACAACAAATTAACATCAATTCTCAATGTAAATGCTACTCGTTTCAGTGGGGAAGGACTTCCTTCTCCTTTGCATTCTTACACCACTGTGTACTTTTCCTTATCAGTTCTTAACTGTAATTAAATAATGTGTAACTAATGTACCTTCCTTAGACAGCCAACACTGATGTCAGTGATGAGGTCCATCTGACAAGCACCCGGCTGTCCATGCCTGCTCATAGCATGCAGTTATTAAGTATCAGCTAAGTGAACAAGTGTATTACAAACCAGAAAAAGCTCAAGACAAATGAGGAAAAGAAAATACCAATGATACAGATCTTTACCTGTAACCCAAAATAAGACTTGGGACAGTTACTGTTCATGCCAGGGTTAGCTCTTGCCTCTCGCTTTCTCTAAGCCTAGGCTATCAATATGGCTCATCTGAACCTTGACCTCTTTATATGATAAGAAGCAGATCATCATTAGTGGTGAAATATTTGTAAGTAAAAAGCTTCCAAAAGGCATGTTCTTGGTAAAAATGATGGAGATAAAAATACTGAAAATGGCTTGATATAAAATTTAAAAGCTTTTCTTACCAGAGCTTCTTTATCAACTTTCTCTTTCTCAAAGACAGTAAAGAACTCAGAGAGCTGAAGTTTCTTCAGATCTTCTTCTAATGTTGGTACATCTCCTTGATCCTCAACAGTTCTTAATGAACCCTAAAAATTGTATCATAAAGCTTATTATTTACAAAATTCATTTAGTTTCCTTTATTAATACTATTTAATAATTTGAAATTATTATATAAGATATTCACAATAATGAATCTTAACATTAAATACTTTGCTTTGTTTTTGAGGCAAGGTCTCATTAAGTCCAGGCTGGTCTCTTACTGTGTAAGTAAGGATGACCTTTTATTTATTTTTGAACAAGAGTTTTTCATGTAGCCATGGCTGTCCTGGAACTCACTATGTAGACCAGGCTGGCCACAAACTCACAGAGATCCTCTGCTTAGGTGTTGGGTGTTGGGTGTTGGGATTAAAGGCATGCACCAACATGCCAAGCAAAAATGTATTTTTAAATTACTATCAAATAATCTCCATCACTATTAGCAAACCTTTATTGAGCTCTTATTAAGGAAACATAATTTAAGAAATAAAACAGGCCAGGTGGTGATGGCACATACCTTTAATCCTAACTCTCAGGAGGCAGGGGCAAGTGGATCTCCGTGAGTTCAAGGCCAGCCTGGTCTACAAAACTAGTTCCAAGACAGAAGGGGTTAAACAAAGAAACCCTAGCTCACAAAACCAAAATTAAATAAATAAAAAAAGAAATACAACAATCAGGGCTAGAGAGAAGGCTCAATGGTTAGGAGCACTGGCTGCCCTTCCAGAGGACCTAGGTTCAATGCCTAGCAGCCACTTGGCAGCTCACAACCATCTGTAGCTCCAGTTCCGGGGATCTGATGCCCTCTTCCGGCCTTTGAGGGCACCATGCACAAGTGTGGTGCATAGACATACTCGTAGGTCAAACATTCATACACAAAAAATTTTAAAATAGGGATGGGGAAGATGGAGAGATGGTTCAGCAGTTAACACTTGCTCTCTTATAGAGAACCTGGGTTTGGTTCCTAGCACACACATGGTTGCTTACAACCATCTGTAACTTCAGTTCCATGGATCTAATGCCCTCTTTTGACCTTCAGGGGCAATAGGCACATACATGATGTAGATACATATATACGGCAAAACAGCTATATAGGGGCTGGAGAGATGGCTCAGTGGTTAAGAACACTTGTCTTCCAGAGGACCCGAGTTCAGTTCCTAGCACCCTCATGGTGGCTCACAACCATCAGTTCCAGGGGACCTTGCACCTTCTGATACACATACAGACATGCAGGCAAGATACTCACATATAGATAAAAATATCAAATAACCCGGCTATACATATAAAAGATAAATATCTAAAAGATAAAATAGTCTAAGGCAGAGCCCAGTCCTAGAAGAACTCATAAACCAAGGGTTCACAGGACAGTGTCTATCGAATACACAAATCACACTACCATGATAAAACGTTCATGGGACTTTGGCTGATGAAGAGATATGTTTCATCATCATGTTTCTCCTTGGCTTCAAAACATGACTTCTATAAAGCATCCAAGTCATTCTTCACCTCCTCGCACACAATCTACAATTAACTCAATGAATACAACTCTATCCATGCACTAGTAGTGCATATTTACAAAGAAAAGGAAGACACCATACTTATTTTACAATATGACAGTGGCTTATAGAAGCAAAATACTGTCTTGTTTCTATCACCCAAGAATGACAAGAGATAATTACCAAGCTGTTAAAATAAATGTACATTTAACATCATGGCATCAGACTAGACTCAGCTAATCACAAAGGTTAAAAATCCTTAGTATGGAATACTACAAGAGAACCTATCTAAACTTCTAAATTACCTTTTCACTGTCAATATCCCCAAAAGAATCTTTCTGATTTGTTAGGATATCAAACAATATAAGCGAACCTATAAGTAAAATAGAAGAAGGGACAATTTCTAAGACATTGGCTGTCTTTTATACAGAAAAGTTATAAGCCAATTACAAATGTAAGAAAATCAACAGAGAATCTTTCCAATTTACCACCACCCTTCCAACCCCTTCCAAATTCTTCTTCACAGATTTCTTGCAGTTCTCTGAATCTGTTACTGATTAAGACACTATATATCACAATGTGCTAGTGCTCTCTGTCTACAGGGAATTCATTTGTTACCTAAACTATGACCAGCAATGGATACACCCCCTTTGAATTCAGGGTTCCTCTGCAGAAAAAGTGTATATATTCGGTTCATTTCAGAAGCTACTGTGTCCACAATAGTCTGACAGTAGGTGGGACTATTGTAAAAGAAGACATCCAGAATTGTATCATTAGTGAAGTGTCTGAGGCGATTAATGCTGGGCAGGGTTATCCGCTGCAGATCTCTGAGGGAGAGAAAAAAAAAAAGATTATTTTGAGCAGAAAGCCTAAATCCAGACCATTGCTGCTTCTAAGCTATTATTTAGCTTATTCTTAAAGCTTAGGGTCAAACCTGCAATGTTACAAGAGATACCTATCAAGATGGAGAGAAGCAGGGGCTTGAACAAATTTGTTTAGTGAAGCACACAGGTGGATAGCAGTCAATTCAGAGACTTATAGCTGGCCTAATGCTGAGAACAGGTGACTGCTGGGTGTTCAACCCTACATGGGACATCTACAGCAAGACCTCCAGAGCTTAGGAAACAACAAGACAGGGCAGAAAAAATGTCTTCTGCACATAATATGGCTGCTGCACTCGTGAACTCATTGCAGTTATGGTTACATGGGAAATAAGCCAACAAGATCAGTCATTCCATCAGTCAGCAGTAACTGGATTAAGTGAGTCAGACACACAGAAAAGAGAGGAAGATGGGAAAGGACCTGTGGGGAGATTACAGGGCAGTGGAAGGCAAGTGTTATGAGTAAGTATCATCAAGATATATTGAATACAAATATAAAATAGTCAAAGAATAGATAAAAGATTTTTTTAAATCTGTGATGAACGAGGACATAGCTCAGGACACTTGCCTTAGTAGCATGCACCAAGCACTGTGTAAACTAGGTGTGGCATTCCTGCAATCCCAACACTGTGGAAGTTTAGGAAGGAGGATCAAGAATTCAAGGGTTTTTGAGACAGGATCTCATGTAGACTAAACTGACCTTAAACTTGCTATGTGCTAAAAATGACTTTGAACTCTTGATCCTCCTACCTTCATCCCTACATGCTCGGATTATAGGCATTTGCTACCAAATTAGGCTTAAGGAACATTTACTGGTAATTAAAAATTTGAGAATTTTGTAGTATGCATGGCAGTACATTTTGAATGGTACTGATTTATTGAATAAATTGTACATATTTAAAAATAACATATGTCAGGGTTTCTTGAACTTGTGATCCCTTTTTATCCAAAACATGTTTAAGTAACCCCAGGTATATAGGTGTATGAAGTAAATATACATTCAGAGACCCCAGGTGTGTAGGTATATAAAATAAGTATTCAGAGCCAGGGATGTAGGTATATAAGTATATATCAAACATTCACTGATAGCAAATAATAAAGAATTGTTTTAAAATAATTATTTGATAGCATCTAATTTTGCCATTTATTAATCCCCTCTGACTACCACATGTACCTATTCACAGTGAATGTGGCTGCATGGGAGCATGTATATGCTTGTGCATACACACAGTATTTTTCTTCTATAAAAACAAGGTCTCTCACACATGGTCCCCTGGAGACGGGGAAGGCACAAGATCTCCTAAGCTAATTAGGAGCATGGTGGGAGGGGAGAGGGAGTTAGAAGAAAGAGAAGGGGAGAAGAGGAGGGAAGAGGAGGGAATGAGGGAGCAGGAAAAATAGTCAGGGGAAGAATAGAGGAGAGCAAGAAGAGATACCATAATACAGGGAGCCATTTTTGGTTTAAAGATAAATCTGGCACTAGGGAAAGGTTCAGAAATCTACAAGGTTGACCCCAACTAACAATCTAAGCAATAGTTGAGAGGCTACCTTAAATGCCCTTCTCAGATAATGAGATTGATGACTAATTTATATACCATTCTAGAGCCTTTATCCAGTAGCTGATAGAAGCAGAAGCAGACACCCACAGCTAAATGCTGAGCTGAACTCTGGAATCCAGTTGCAGAGAGGGAGGAGTGATGAGCAAAGAGGTCCAGATCAGGCTGGACTCCAGACTGACAGCTGGGAAACCAGCATAGGACTGTTCCAGACCCCCAGAGGAGGAGGTCAGTTTGGAGGTCTGGACAATCTATGGGGTCACTGGTAGTGGATCAATATTCACCCCTAATACACAAATGAACTTTGGGAACCCTCTCCACACGGAAGGATACTCTCTCAGCCTAGACACACGAGGACAGTGAGAAGGAACTGAAATTGACATGTAAAAGAAGCTTGTTTCTAATTTAAATAAAAAATAAAACAACAAACAAACAAAAAACAAGGTCTCTCTATAGGGTCCTGGATGCCATGAAATTCACTATGTACACTGTGCTGCTCTTGCACTTGCTTCAGCCTCCTGAGGGCTACAATTAAAGGCACGTGTTACCACATCAGGAACAATTCTTTACTTTTAGCCAGAGATATCTAAAGACAAAGGACTATCATTCAATGATACATCTCCAAGAAATTATAAATATATAGTGGTTGCTTCTGCAGCACATATACTAAAATTAGAATAATACAGAAAAGATTCACATGCCCCTTGTGCAAAGATGACATGTCAATGTAAGAAACATTTAGTACTTTTTATCACAAATTTGATCTGATGTATGTCAAGCATGCCTTTATACAGTGGTAAGTGAGTGAAGACATGCAGGCTAACACACTAAATTTAATTACTAAAATAATTAAAAATTATAAAAACTCCACATTGAAGCTGTACACAACAGAACAGTACATCTGTAATACCAATACTGGAATGTTAAGGAATGAGGATCAAGACTTCAGAGTCAGCACAGGCTACACAGTTAAACCCTGTCCCAGAGAAAGGCTGTGTTGGGAGAAGGAGATAATCCTGCATCATCCACAAATCAGTAACCCTCGATGCTGGTGCGCTGGGAATGTGGCTTTGTAATAGAATGCCTGTCTGGCATGGGTAAACCCTATGGGTTGATTCTCAAAACTGCAAAACAGAAAGCATACATGAGAGAAAAACCGACTTGTGAGGCCATTGAGGATATGGCTGTCTTATAGGATTATGAGGAGGTTGGTGGGGATTCTGTTGGAGAGGACAAGAAAGAAAGAGAAGAATACTAAACTCAAGTATCAAAACGACCTGGTTTCATGGGAAGCTTGTTTGTTTATATGCTTTGGTGTTTTGAGACAGGGTCCCTTTATGTAGTCATGACTGTCCTGGAATTCACTATGTATACTAGGTTGGCCTTGAACTCAAGAGATCCATCTACCTCCACCTGCCTCTGTCTCCTGAGTGCTGGGATTAAAGGTGTGTGCCACCACCACCTGGCTAAAAATTTTATTTTAATATATAATCAGCTATAGCAGAAATGTCCTTAAGCATAATGATGATCAGAAAATATTACAATTTAATGGCATAAGGGACTACTCACACATCCACCCCAGTAGAATGCAAAGGACTGTGCCAATTAACAGGAAGAAATTCTACTCTTCCAATCTGCTGGTTTTCTTGGGCTTTCTTAAAATGTGTCTGTAGCAGGTTCAAGGAAACACTTCGGAAATCATTAACTAGAAAAGAAAATTAACTTCTGCATCAACAGTGAAGCAATTAATACACAGACTTGGGATGCAACAAAACATGCAGTAGCACCCTTTCTAACAACATCCGCTTAGAACACACACTGACTGGACACAAAGTAAGTAGTTTAGGAAAAACTAAGACATTTAATTAGGAGATGTTCATTTAATATAAGGCTTGGGTTTACCACACAAAACATTTCACCAAAAAAAAAGCTTACATCAATTTCTTTTTTTTAAAATCTCATGACTCCATGTCAAGAGTCTGGTAGTCATATTCTTACCCTAACTCTAAGTGCTACTGTTTTCCTGTTTGTTTGATTTTGCATGTGCATTTGATAGAAATAGCATCAGCTAGTCAGTCTAGCAAACTGGCTCAGTAAGTAATGGTGCTTGCCACCAGGCCTGAAGACTGTACCCACAACATGGTAGAAAGAGACAACTTACTTCTCCAAGTTGCCCCCTGACCTCCACAAATGTGCCAAGGCGTGTGTGTGTGTGTGTGTGTGTGTGTGTGTGTGTGTGTGTGTGTGTGTGTGTGTGTGTGTGTGTGTGTGTGTGTATGTATGTATGTATGTATGTATGTATGTATGTATGTATATGTACCCACACACAAGCACAAGTAAGAAAATGAAATTTTTAAAAGTTTAAAAATTACTTTTAAAATAAATAGCTGAGGGGCTGGAGGGAAGTCTCAGTGGCTAAGAGCACTGTCCGCCCCTCCAGAGGACCCAGGTTCAATTCCCAGCATCCACATGGCCGCTTGCAACTGTCTATAACTCCAGTTCCAGGGAACCTGGCACCCTCACCCAGACATACATAAGAAAGAGGCAGCAGGGAGTGGTAGCTCACACCTGCAATGTCAGCACTCAGGAGGTGAAGACAGGCAGAACTCTTCAAGTAGACGCCAGTGAATTCCTGGCCAGCCAGGGCTACATAAATAAAAGATTGTTTTTCTTTTGTTCTTTTTGAGACAGGTTTCTCTGTGTAACCTGGATTATTTGACAACTTTCTCTGTAGACCAGACTAGCCTCAAACTCAGATATCTGCCTGCCTCTGCCTCTTGAATGCTGGGATTAAAGGAGTACACCACCACTCCCAGCTGGAGAGACTGTTTTTAAAAACACAAAAAAACAAAACACAGACAGACACTCCTGGAATGGAAATAGGCTAGTGTATTGGTAAGACAGCTACTCAAAAGTTAAATTTCCTGGTTTTTAAAAGCCTCCATTAGCCAGTACTTTATATTTTTTTAAAAGATTATTTTTAGTGAGGCATAGTGGTGCATACCTTTCATCCCAAAACTTGGGAGGCATAGGCAGGTGGCTCTCTGTGAGTTTGAAGCCAGCCTGGTCTACAGAGTGAGTTCCAGGACAGCCAGAGCTATATAATGTAACTCTGTCTCAAAACAAAAACAAAACTATTATTTTTATTTTACTTATATGTGTGCTTTGCCTAATTGTATGTCTGGACCACCTGCATGCATTGCCTGCAGAGGCCAGAAGTGGACATCAGATCCACTGGAACTGGCAGTTAGAGTTTGTAAGCCACCTTATGGGTGCCAGAATCAAGGCTTGATCCTGAGGAAGAACAGTCAATGAGTAGTACTCTTAACTGCTGAGCCCCTAATACTTTAGATTAAAAATATATATATACACTGCTGTTCCACACTCTTATCACATCAACCCTAACCGCGTAGATCATAATTCTAGTTCATTCAGAACCACTGCCAAGAAGAAGGGAACTGCCAAGTGGGGCATACTTTGAATACCATCAAGCTTTGAAGATACTACCTTTTCAAAATTAAGTTATATTTAACTTAAACTTGAGGTTGTCATGGTATGAACTGCAGCAATAAGTTTCTATTATTTACTTAAACTCCCAACTTTACTGTTCTCTCTGAATTTGGTTACAAATAGTAGGCTGGTTAAATCACAATCCACAGGGATTACAAGTGTGCTCATTCAATGGATTACTAGTTAAGAATATTAAGTCTCTGGAAATTCCTAGCACTTAGGTCTCTCAGTTGGGAAGCTTCACTCCCTTGTCACCATCTTTAGCTCTACAAATCTTCTTATGTAGCTAAGACAACAGACCAAAGACAACGCTTGATCCTGGCTTACAGGAGATAATTCTTAAGTGATCTATCTTACATGCTCTGCAACCTACCACATTGAACAATGCTTCGAAAACGGAGATCGCAAGCTGGTCCAATCCCATGAACTACAAAAACTAAGTGATCTATTTGTAAAGGTTCTCCTAGAAGTAAAATTATAAAGAAAAATTAGAAATAGGTTATAAATATAACAAAATTTAAAATAAGAGGTAATGTAAAAGCCATAAAATACTCACATATTTACTTAGTAAAAGTACATTAATTTTCTAATTTTTTTGTGACAGGGAATAAGATGACGACTGATAGAGAATACAGGTATTAGCTGGGCAATGGTGGCGCACGCCTTTGATCCCAGCACTCAGGAGGCAGAGGCAGGCGATCTTTGTGGGTTCGAGACCAGCCTGGTCTACAGAGCAAGTTTGGTCTACAGCCTCCAAAGCCACAGAGAAACCCTGTCTCGAAAAACCAAAAACTAAAAGCCAAACAAACAAACCACAGGTACTGGTCTCCCCATTCATGCTTCTGGACACAAGCACCCATACATTCACATGCCTGCACTGAGTGTACACACACACACACACACACACACACACACACACACACACACACACGCACGCGCGAACATACCTGCACATTCACATGCATGCACTGAGTGTACACACACACACACACACACACACATGCACCTGCACATTCACATGCCTGCACTGAGTATACACACACACACATACATACACACATACAAACACACATACACACACACACACACACACGCATACATACATACATATACATACACACACACACACATACACACACACACACACACACACACACACACACACACACACATGCACCTGCACATTCACATGCCTGCACTGAGTATACACACACACACATACATACACACATACAAACACACATACACACACACACACACACACACACACACACACACCCTACCTGGATGTACTGGATGTACTTCAGTTGGCAGAATGCTTACCTAGCACACACAAAATCCTAGTTTGTTTGTTTGTTTTGAGACAAAGCCTCACTAGGTAGCATAGGCTGTCCTGGAGCTTACTATGAAGACCAGGCAGGTCTCAACCTCACAGAGGTCCCCTAGCCTTTGCTGGAGCTATGATTAAAGATGTGCACTACCATGTCCAGGGAAGCCCTAGGTTTGATCCCCAGCATCACATAAACTAGTCATAGTCGAGGCACACCTATACTCTCAGTGCAAGAGGGATGATGCAGGAGTATCAAAACTTTAAAGTTATCCTTAGCTATCAAATGAGTTTGAGACCAGCCCTAACCTACATGAGACCCTTTGTCAAAAACAAACAACAAAAACCCAAACAATGTAGATGAAGTGATATTACTCTTAATTTGAAATAAACCTATATAATTACAGACCATTTTTAAGCCTCAAAATAATATAACTTGAGAGAATAAAAGACCACAATTTAAAGAATAAACCAACATATCAGAACATAAGAGAAAATAAATGATTCACATTACCACAGTGAATATCAACAGGGATGTTCTCAACTCCTCTTTTTACTGATCTTGGTCGCCCTTGCTCTGTGGAGGTTGAACCCCATTCATCAGACCCTGCAACTGGCTGGTAATGCACCATGAGCTTAAACAGAAAAGACCAGAGCAATAGAGTCTGCATTAACTTGTGGTTTAATACATTTTGAAGGACAGAAACACACCTTTCATATAACCAAACCTCAACTGGAGCTTTGCGATACAACTCCTCTATTCTAAAATGAGAACTCCAAAAATACATTAACAGATATTTCAATAATATCCTGGGCCAGGAGTGGTGGTACATGCTTTTAATTCCAGCACTAGGGAGGCAGAGGCAAAAATTTCTGTGAGTTTGAGTCAGCTTGGTCTACATAGCTAGTATGACCTACATAGTGAGTTCAAGGCCAACCAAGGCTCCATAGTGAGACATTGTCTTAAAAAAAAAAACAAAAACAAAAAAACCTACACATACATTATGCTTACATAATGTATAGGTTTTCTTAACCTACAGTGGCATAATTTTCCCTAAGAAAATTATTTAGGGTTGGGGAAATGGCTTATTGGGTAAAGCACTCAATGCTATCTAGTGTAGGACCTGAGTTAAAATCCCCAGAACCCATGTAATGCTGAACACAATAGCACATGAATCTTAATCCCAGTGCTCTTTATGCTGAGATGGAAGGCAGAACAAAGGATTCTGGGTAGAGACAAGAGACCAGCTAACAATGAATGAAGAGCTCTGTCTCCAGGTAGAACAGGACATTCAAATCTGTCCTCTGATTGCAACAAGCACATTGTTGTATATGCATACCCACATTCACAAAATGTACACAAATCACACACACACACTACATCATACATACACCATACACAAATAGAAGAAAACTCTTACGTAAAAGCTGAATGAGGGAATAATGACTATAACCATTAATAACTTACTCGTACACAAATCACACACACACACACTACATCATACATACACCATACACAAATAGAAGAAAACTCTTACGTAAAAGCTGAATGAAGGAATAATGACTATAACCATTAATAACTTTTGTAATAGTGAATCTAATTATAAGCTATGCCAAAGGTCATCTTACGCAGCATCCATAGAACAAAAGATCAATGGTTTTGTTTAGTAATACATTAACCTTTGGTCTTAATCTCAGTAACATGCTTTATTTCACTTTACCTTTGGGTTGTGTAATACAATAATTTCTCTGTTTGGAGATTCTAGTTTCTTTTTCCATTCATCCAAAGTTACAGCAAGCATGTATGTTTCCTTAAAGTAAAATATATTTTATATTAGACTTTCTAAGAGATTTTTGTTAAACCGAACTTATTGATGAATTCCACTAAGAAAATCATTCTCCAACTTAACAAAAATTCATTTTAAAATTTTTTGTAGTGTAGTGCTGGGGGATTAATCCAAGGCCTTGCATATATGAGACAAGCACTCTACCAGTGAACTATATTCCTAGCTCATTAACATTCCTTTACAATGACCAAGAGCCAAGTGTGGTCTTCTATACCTATAATCCCAGCACTTGGAAGGCTAAAACATGAGAATTACTATGAATTTGAGGCCTGCCTGGGTCACACAGTGAGTTCCAGGCCAGCCAGAGATACACAGCAAGACCCTGTCTCAACAAATATGCAATTTAATTGATAGAGTACTTGCCTGGCATGAAGAAAGTCCCATATCCTATCCCCAGCAAAGCATAAAACCAAGTGTAGTGATGCAGTCCCAGAATTCAAGGGGGTATAGGCAGGAATATTGGAATTTGAAGCCATCTTTAGCTATCTGTCAAGTCTGAGGCTAGACTGGGGTATGTGAGACTCTATCTCAAGAAACAAAACAAATACCCGTCTCAAGCAAAAAACAAGTAACAGATTAAAAACTAAAATAAATATATACTCCTTTGAATTCTATCACTATTCATATTGACACACATACATGTCAATACATTCTATTTCATTTCAAGAAAACCAATATTATTTCTCAGAGCAAGAATACAAATTGGGACTAAAGACAAGGCTTACCAGTTAAGAGCCCTTGCTGCTCTTGTAGAGGACCTGGGTTCAATTCCTAGCACCCACATGCCAGTTCACAACCATCTATAACTCCAGTTCCAGAGGACTCAACTCCTTTTGGCCTCCTTGGGCACTGCACACATATGGTACACTCACACACAGGCAAAACACTCATTAAAATAAAAAATAAAAAAACTTAAAAATGGCTAGGTGTCATGGTGCATGCCTTTAATTCCAGCACTCAGGAGGCAGAGGAAGATGGGTATCTCTGAGTTTGAGGCCATCTTGACCTACATAGCAAGCTCTAGAATTCCTAGGACTACAAAGAGAAATTCTGTCTCAAATAAATAGTCAAAAGATTTTTTTTGGTCATATTTTAAATGTTAACAATAATTATCATTAGGAAAACATTTACATTTCACTTAAAAGGCATAATACAATTTCTATAAAATTTAAAATCTAAAAATTAAAACTTTACCCTGACACAAACTTGCAAAGAGAAATTACGAAAAGTGTTGTGACATAAAAGCAGGCAAACTTTTCCAGGAAGTTACACAAAAATATGTTAGAAGAATTAAAAACAAACAAAACAAAAAAAGAAAAAAAATGAAGAAAATAGTAAGTAGCACAGAAGCAGAGGAATACCTCCAAAACTTGGCTGAAGCTCTCTGAGTAGGGAACATATTTATTGTCTTTGTCTCCCTTGTAAAACCATGTGCATCGTCTCACTTCTGACGGGGGCTCATCCCAATACACAGCATACCGCATCCTTTCCCCTAAATGAACATCATATCTGCCCCCATCCGTGGGAACAACTCTCTCATTACAATCTTTTCCTATAAGAATTGCAAAAGAGAAATGAAGTACAGTATGTTACAATAACGCTCCCAAAATATAACAACTGTAAAGTTACACTCCAAATCATCATGTGAAACGTAAGCAGTTTCTTTTTTTTGTTTTGTTTTGTTTTGTTTTGTTTGGTTTTTCGAGACTGGGTTTCTCTGTGTAGCTTTGGAGCCTATCCTGGCACTCGCTCTGGAGACCAGGCTTGGCCACAAACTCACAGAGATCTGTCTGCCTCTGCCTCCCGAGTGCTGGGATTAAAGGCGTGCGCCACCAACGCCTGGCCCTATGTGGCTGCATATTAAGGTGAATGGAATATAGCACCTGTCTTTCTCATGAACTACTTTCATATGTCAACACCAATCATATTTTAAAGAAAAAAATTACTACCTCAACAGTTTTTCTAATTAATGCCTCTTACACACACACACACACACACACACACACACACACACACACACACACTGACACAGATACATACATACACATAAAGATTTTTCAAGTTTTAGCTTGAGGGATTAAAAAGTAAATTAATGACAATCATGAAGATATACCATAAATAGCACTATTCTTGTTTCATGAGAGAAAAAGAAAACACAAATGACAGAATGGCCAAAATCAAAAACTCTGATGACAGCTTATGCCGGAAAGGATGTGGAGTAAGGGAAGACTTTTTCACTGCTGGTGGAAGTGCAAACTTGTACAGCCACTCTGGAAATCAGTATAGTGGTTTCTCAGAAAATTGGGAACCAATCTTCCTCAAGACCCTGCAATGCCACTTTTGGGCATATACCCAAAGGATGCACACTCACACAAGGACATTTGCTCAACTATGTTCATAGCAGCATTATTCATAACAGCCTGAACGTAGAATCAACCTAGATGCCCCTCAACCGAAGAATGGATAAGGAAAATGTGGTACATTTACACAATGGAGTACTACTCAGTGGTTAAAAAAAAAAAAAACCTTTAAATTTGCAGACAAATGGACAGACAGAATAGAAAAAATCATTCTGAGTGAGGTAACCCAGACAAATATATGTACTCACTCATCTCACTCATCAGTGGATGTTAGACATAAAGCAAAAGATAACCAGCCTACCAGCCACAACCCCAGAGAACCTAGGTGACAAAGAGGACCTTAAGAGAGACACACATGGATCTGCCTGGAGGGGGAAAAAGAAAGACCCTCTGAAAAAAGGGGGGGGGGGGGGGGGGGGGGAGGGTAGAAGGGGAGAGGGGTAGAAGGAAGGGAAAAGGGGTGTAGGAAAAAATATATATAACTCAATATAGTAAAAATTTTTTAAAATGCCAAAAAAAACCCAAATGACATGTTAGTTCCTTCTGCAATGTGACTCCTTACTCTATACACATACTTTCTAAGTAAAAACTAAAACACAAGCTAGATTAGAGGAAATGTTGGATAATTATACAGAAATTTAGTACAGTTTTAAAAGGATGAAAATGGAAAGCTTCTAAAATTTAACTTTAATATCAATTGCAGTAAGGGGCATTACTTTTTAGTGTTAGAAAGATGAGAATCTTTGTTACAAGTCACCATTTTCTTCTTACCAGAGCCGTGGGCCTCCTCTAGCTGCTGTGAATCGTCTGAGTTGAAAGGAATCCATATCTCCTTGGAATCTATTACCTTACAATAAAACCAATGTGAAGAAACAGGTTCGTACAAACTGCTAACATCCATGTCTATCAGCTCAAAGGAACTAGAGGAGTTTGGTGATGGGGAGGGATCTGACAGGTGCTCCTGGCTCGATTCCACTGATGACATTTCGCTCTAGAACACAAAATCAAACTATCAGTATTATTTTGCCTCTATTAACACTGTAAATGTTCACGCGCCCCCACACACAAAATGACCATTTTTTGAAAAGTTACATAAACTAAGACAAAAATATAAAATTATTTGGGGGAGGGAAACAGTTATGTTCAGCTCCGCCATTCTGCACGGAAGTTCCCAATTCTCCTAAACCAAAATGGGTGACCAGACAATAAACTCTTCAAACCCAGAAATATCAAGATACATACAGTAAAAACTAATTGCAACAAGAAATTTCACCACAATTTTCAACTAAACGTAGCACCAAAGGCTGAAAATTTACTGCTTCCAAGTGTGGCATATAATCCTAACAGGTAGGTGAATTAAGACTCCAGGTTCTCTGACACATTACCATTACACATTTACATAAATATTTAGAATCTTAAAATACGGAAAACAGAAGTAGCCACTTAACCATTTTGGCTGATCCTGCAAGTGTGTCTCCACAGGGACTGTGGTGCATTTAACGCCCAAACAGGAACTCTGCCTGCAGCCACAGTTGTGCCACGGAGACTGGGCGCCCAAGTTTCAGGTGAAAAGTAGCAGGTGACCTCAATAACCCCCTCCACCGATCCAATACCCAAGTGCCCTGAGGACTAGCGCTGCAGACATGGAAGCAGAACCCGAAGCTCTGGGAGGGAGATGGATGCGCCGCGGCAGCATCCCTGCACCGGGCACGGTGGGACCGCAAGGCTGAGCTCGCCGAGCCTCCCCGTTATCCTCCCGAGAGTCCTCGCTCGGCCTGCCCTCAGCTCCCGCCGGACTCCAGCCACCAGCAACTCCAGGCCTCGCGCCCC